AGGCCATGCGAGCATTCGTTGTAACCTTTAATTAAAACTTTTAATTAAGGCCGACCCGAGAAGTCCGATAGCAACATCGCCGGTGATCTTTTCCGAGTGTACAAAGTTGCGCCGACGATACGGATCCGCAAAAGAGGGAAAAAAGTATTCCATTTGATCGAACACCGTCTACGGCGAGCGGAGATTGCAGCGAGCCAGATAAAACCGAATCGAAACGAAAACATTCGGCTTTAGTCTCTCGGACAGATGTGTACGGTGAATCTTTCAAATTCAAATTTATAAGCGGCGCGGAATTTCGGCTGCAAAACAAACCCTGTCTGTCCAAAACTGTTCATTGACAGTGTTTTGACGTGTTCTGAACGTGAGGTATGCAACAGAGTTGGGTATTATTCGAATTTTTCGGATAAATATTTATCTAAGATAATTTTCCGAATAAATTCTTTTTAGGCGAATATTTTATTCGAATAACGATAATACATTATTCGTCATAAATGTGTCTAGTTATTCGTATAAATTAATGGAATAATTCTTTTCTCTCGTATTAAGGATGATGAATTATATTTATACATTCAGAATACTTATTCGAATAAAATCTTGTTCGACTGAATTCTTATTCGAATAAAATCTTATTCGAATGAATTCTTATTCGAATAAAATCTTATTCGAATAAATTCTTATTCGAATAAAATCTTATTCGACTGAATTCTTATTCGAATGAATTCCTATTCGATTAAAATCTTGTTTGGCTGAATTCTTATTCGAATGAAATCTTAATTCGCGACTGAATTCTTATTTGAATAAAATCTTATTCGACTGAATTCTTGTTCGAATAAAATCTTGTTCGAATAAATTCTTATTCGAATAAAATCTTATTCGACTGAATTCTTATTCGAATGAATTCCTATTCGATTAAAATCTTGTTTGGGGCTGAATTCTTATTCGAATGAAATCTTAATTCGACTGAATTCTTATTCAACTGAATTCTTATTCGAATAAAATCTTATTCCAATGAATTCTTACTCGAATTTTGTATCCGATTGGATATTTATTCGATAGTGACGAATAAAATTTTAATCGTAAATCTTTATCTCTTTCCCGTCATTCAAATGAAATGTCGCCCAACTCGGGTATGTATTTGGGAGATCATTGTAATTTATTGTATAATAGCATCGTAAAATAACAATAGAATGTCCCACATCTAAATTATCCATTATTTTAATACATTTAACAGGGGAACAATGAAATCCAAATTGATGCATATACAAACAGGATTTATTATACAAATCGTTTTAATTTAACATTGCAGTTGCTTGACCCTATTATAACTCAGTGTATCTTTGAGGTCACATAATTTCATTTTTAGTCAAAATACGGCAAAGGTATTTAAAAAATTCAATTAGCTACATACAATAAATTCAAGTGTTTTAAAAATGATTAAGTTATCGTTGAATAATATCCAGATCTCCTGGTTTCGAGTTGCACAAATTTTTGTTAATTCTAAAGTCACGCATGACTAATTTTACTTCGAGTAATTTGATTCACAACTTGAAAATCCAATTTGCATTGCTTATCATTGAATATTTAAAAATTAGAATTTTCACGATGCGCATCTTGCTTTCATTAAAGCCATAATGATGTATTATTTATCGGTCTTGATCCACCGTGCTCACTGCATCCGCACGCATTTTCAATCAATTTTATCCAATTAAGTGCTTGTTCGAGAGCTCTTGGAATTTTCTTAGTGGATCGATGGAAGAAACGTGAATCGAATAGACGATAATATTATTGAAAAATAATTGAATCAGAGTGCTTCCGCGCGCAGCTTGTCGCACAGAAATGATTGAACGGGACAAGCACAACCGTGAACGGAGGTAGATTTTATTAAAGCACGGCAATATAGCGCGGCAAGCGACGTTCCACCAACCGTGAGTCTTAATTAGCAAAACGTCGTATCTACGGAGGCGACTGCCACAGATACCATCAGCCATTGTAGCACCTTACCACTTGCACCCTCTTCATTTCCGAGTGACAACGCGAAACATCCAGCGACCACAGCAGAATCGTTACAAGATACGCAGATCTGTGGTCGTTACACTCGGTAAATGAAAAGACTACGCTTGGATACGAAATACAACGTTGACACTCGTTTTAACACTGTATCTACCGCGTGCTTGTCAACACCCTAATACTACGGGGTCTTTGGTATAGTCACGGACAAAATTATTCGTACATTTAGTATATCGAAATAAAGAGAGTAATATTTTTAATAATATTACATGTATTCATCTATATGTCATTATATGATTAATAGTTTTAACACTGTATCTACCGCGTGCTTGTCAACACCCTAATGCTACGGGGTCTTTGGTATAGTCACGGACAAAATTATTCGTCCATAAAGTATATCGAAATAAAGAGAGTAATATTTTTAATAATATTACATGTATTCATCTATATGTCATTATATGATTCACGTAAATATAAACAACAACGAATGTATGCAAACAAATGAAATAAAATGTATAGGTTCCTAACAATTCGCTAAGACAAAAGTATTCGTAGAGTTTTATACTTTTCTTGATAAACATAAAAGATCAATGAAATTGAAACATTTTCAACAGAATGAAACATGTAAGGGAAGATTGAAAGTCAGTTTCCTGAGACCAATCAATGTAATAACACGTTATATATTTTAATAGTTTAAAATATGAAACACAAAGGTACCGAAAGAGTGAAAATTAATAATATGATTATTATATTTATCGAATAAGACATATACGTTTTCTGTATTTTTGAATAAATTTCTTTGTTTTTTATTTTCTTTATTTTGGAATAAATTTATTTATCCTTTTATATTTATTATTTTTGAATAAGTTTCTTTATTCTTCCATTTTCTTTATTTTTGAATAAATTTCTTTGTTCTCTTATTTCGATTATTTTTTAATAAAAAAATGTAATATGTTTTATTCGATGAATAAAAGTTTAATTACGCCCGAGAGTAAAGTCACCAGTTCCACTACCCTATTTATGAAGTTGAGTAGTATTAGTCGGTGTGTTCGAAATCGTCTTCGTTGCAGGAGTGGGAAACTGTTAGTGGAAATAGCCTCTTATTGTTTCATGTCGTCAATGCTGTGATTTATGTATGAAGAGTCTTTGCTTAGGTCTGTCGCACGTGATGTCCGTATGTTCAGTCGTGATTGCCGATGGTCGTAAACGGTTTCCGCCGGTCATCTGTCGAATCCCTACTGGGCTTCAACGTACAGTATACACTATTTTTGAAAATTCCCAATTTTCCAAACTTCATTTGTTCGTTGGTATCAAATTAACATAGCGACAAGAATTCAATATTACGGAAATATACTAATCTTTTAAGTAATATAATTTCAATGATTTTAAATGGAGGTAATATCAATTATGTTTGATTCTTTAACATTTCAAGTTGTAGTGAATTTTTGATAGAAATTTAAGTATAAATTTTAAATTTTAAGTGATGTTTGATATTTTAAATCATAATGAGTTTTTGATTAAATCTTAAGTAAAAATTTTTAATTTTCGTATCTCTGATAGATTTAAATTAATTTTAAATAGGTGTAAAATTAATTGCATGTTCTTATAAAAATTGATTTGCAGTGAATTTTAGTACAAAATTAATTTATAGTAAAATTATAATATAAATCTTTAGTTAACTTTACAAATCTCTCCTTTGAAGACGATAACCTAAAATTGAATAAGTTTAAAATAAAATTTTTATTTAATTATTTATTTGGAATCGGTGAGGAATGTGAAGAATTAACGAGAAATCAGATCAATA